CAAAATATTCTAGGAACTCCCTAACCAAGGAAAACAATAATTTTCCTTCTGAATTAGCCAGGTACTGTTTTACAGTTTTATTGAGAAGTGGTTCTGGATTCTAAAATATTAAATTAATTATGCACTACTAATGCCTTAAAAGATTATGAAACTTGAATAATAAATTCTTATTATTGTTTACAGTGAAAAACGCCTACTAAATTAAATTACAAATAAATCAAATTCTCTCTTTATATTACTACAATTTAATATTAACCCTATGTTATTAATAATACTACATTATAAACTATGATTTCAATATCGATCAATGGAAATTAAGATATAATCAATTTTTTTATAAGTCCTGACAAGAAAATTCAAAGATTTTTTTAAGACATATTACAGAAAATATTAACATACCATTACTGATTCTTGTTCTTCTAAAGCTAAGAACACACTTGCTCTCAGTTCTGCCTATAACATTATAAAAGACTTTAAAAAGAGTATTACAGCAAAAATTTGAAAAATTTGATCAAGTTCCTTGACACAATATACATAACCTAGAAAAAAAGGCGTGATTTTTAAAATTTCGTTTCAGCCTACCCGCACTTTAGCAAGAACACCATTATTCTCAAGGGTTTGCACCACCAAATCCCGTAATTCTGTATCTTCCTCCATGGAAATGTTTCCGTCTATCATGATTATAAATAAAAATTACTCCCGCAAACACTCAAGAAATGTAAATATTTACGCTTTCCATCGCGTGTCTTCTTTTCACAGATGTTTACCTAGAGATTATTTTTTCCCTGCCTAGGGAGTTTAAACTCAACTTTGAGAAAGTTGAATGTTGTACAGTATTCTTTTCTTTATATGTGTAAAAATGTATTCTCGCGTTCTTTTTCTTCGATTATATGAAAGTGTATATAAAACTAAAATAGAGCTTATTACACAATAGTTGCTTTTAGAATACAAAACGTAAAATAAGTGATCAAACTTAATACTTTGTTCGATTATATTACAATATGTCAGTATTGCCAATATACTTTAGTTTTTAATTGTTTTATTTATGTAAAAATTAAGATATTAGAAAAAAAATAAACAACATAATCTGTACTAGTTGATTATTTTTGTGTTCATTTATGTAAATAATTATGTTACTTTCTATACTGACATATTAAGAAAAAAAAAACCGGAAGTAACATAGCCATT